TCATCTGCGTGTCCGGAGAGCCCTTTTATTCCAGCGTAAGTAACTTGCCCGACATTGTTCCTTCCTCAAGATCCATCCACGCTAATATCAGACATTTTTGGTCCAAAGAAAAACTCACCCTACAGTCTAAAAGCCCCTGTCTCTGTTCTGTAGTCCTATGATGTTATTGTACCACTATGAGATCACGCTCAGACAGGTTTTCTGCCTTTTGAAACATAGATACACTGTAGGTCCCGTAAATTAGTCATAATCTAAGGCGGTATAGGTGGTAATTTTGTAATTTGAAAAAAGGCAAAACAAATTAAACTATTCCCTCTGGAGGTAGCCGAGGCACCAGGCATATTTTAGCTACATTTTCTAGGGTGTATTCAGACCTGCACATTTGGTCCACTTTAAACGGACCAGGATTCGTTTGGAACTCTGATCCGAACCTTTTATGCAGGAGTGAATACACACAAACGAATCCTGGTCCAGACCAAAGAACCGGACCGAGACCCACTTTTTAGGTGGTCTCGGTCCTCTCCCAAACGAACTCTGGTCCAAGTCGATTTAGGTCTGAATACATCCGGTGTCGATCCGACTCAACTCCAGGATACATGCGCATTTATTGGCCTTTACAAGCCACCGCAGACAGAAACTGTGAGGAATTAGCCACGCGTCACAGCTGCTAACTATGCTGCTAACGCTATACAACAACAATGAGCCGTGGGCAGACCTGGAGCATCGAATAGACACTGTGCAACAGGCTTATGGAGTCACAACTGTTCACAGTATACAGTGTTTTTAATGGCAGCATCTTCAAATCATTTGCATTATCTAAAGCCTCACGTGTTTGACTCACGTCTCAAAGAGAGCAATATCCCGTATCATGTAGTGAATTGTGTTCTTTGGTTCATACCTGATCCTCCGTCGTCTGTTTATCCACAATGCTCCTGTCAGTAAGTTGTGGGACCCGTTATTATTATAGATCCATGTGTATGACAGAGCACGTAGCGCACCGTGTCTCCTTCGGCTTTCTCCCCATGCATTCGCCGACGCTGTTCTAAAATTTGAAACAACGCGTTTCGCCTGTGTTGAATGAGCTGCTGTTGATATCGAAGGTGCTTTTTCTCTAAAAAGAGCAAACATAGGCAGAGCAGACATGCAGCACGTACGAACCAAAAGAAAAATTTTTGGTCCGCTTTTGGTTCGGACCAAGCAAGCGGACCAAAGGACTTTTCTGGTCTGAATACACCCTAAGATTCTAAAATAGTAAATGGCAAAGTGTCGCAACCAATCTGACAAATTGGGCCTCTGGAGAAGTGAGTCCCATGTGTGCAAGCAACACGGAAAAACCTAAAATCAGCCATATTTGACCAATGCAAAAAATAAAATCATATCATGGACTGGAACAATGCAAACATAGTATGAACAGAAGAACACAAATACAAAAGATGGATCCCAGAGGCTGTCAAACTCAGAAAGCGTGGCACACGGACCATCAATAGAGACGAGGGGGCATTCACCTTGGCTCATACTTCTTTACTCTCTTTGTCTTAGTAGAAGAACTCTTTAAGCCTCTCTTCCATCACTCTCTGTGCGCCGGGCATCACTCTTCCGTCCATATTCTTCACTTCTCTTTGAAACAAAAGACAAAAAGCCTGCGTTGGAATGGCTGCGAGCGCAAAGCAAAGTCATAAGTCAAACCGTAATGGCGTCCGACCTTCTTTAATCAGGTTCTATAAAGAGACTAATCCTGAGGTCGCAACTTTCCCTCCACGCTATTACCGTTGGCACTAATACATCTCAGGTAACGCCGGAGTACGTGACCTTTGGTAAAATGGAATATTTCATAGCTTTATCAGCGTAGAATCTTAAAGGAGGAAAGGGCGGAAAAAGTAGGTCTTTTGATGCGGCGCAGCTAATTAACAAAAAGGACGGTGACACTGTTATGTTAATGTAACCTTAGCGCCTCGTGGTGTGGAATATAAAGTGTGACTAAAGCAAAGAGGGCAGTTTTAATGAACATGCTGTAGAGTAGAGAGGCAGCAACAGGCGAAGGAGTGCGTGGATCGATACTCTATGAACTTGGCTCGTGCATGGTTGCAGTCATTGTTCGCGAAACCAATTATCGGTAAGTACATGATGTGAAATAAATCTGCTTCAAACACAACGCGCTAATCATACACATTTCTCTGAGTGGCTTGGTCTGGAGGCGTGTCTGTGTCTGTGTGGAAAAGGCCTTAATGGCTTTCTTTGGAATATGCTGCGGAAAAGCAACAAAAAACAACATTTTAAGTGTAATGGTTGAGGGGGGGCTAGACTAGACTATGATAGAATTTTTTTTTTTTTCTCTCATTTATTCATAAAGACTTAGAGTGATGTTTGAAAGGGGCCATTGCTCTGATTATCCGCAATTTTGGCCACAATTTATTCATCATCTATCTTTAATTAATTACTAATCAGAGTCCTTTGTGTTATACCATTGTGTGCTGCTAGAACGACACTTTGTTGTGATAACATTTGTGGTGACTATTTGTATCAGACGTATAGCAAACAAAAACAGAATGTTTTCTATTGCATTAACAGCTGTCAGAATCTTCCATCATATTTACTAACAGACATAGATACTTAACATATTGAGCAAATCAGTATTTTCCATGGTTCAATTATGTTCTTCAAAAACAGACCTGTAGTTGGTTTTAGATCCATCAACGCTAATTTCAGGAACTTCTGGCACAAAAATATAACTCCGCCTCTTCTGTCTAAAAGTTCCTGTCTCAGTCCTGCAATAGTCATAATACCACTATGACGCCACACTCAAACCTGCCTTTTTAAACAAAAGTTACGCCTCTAAATTAGTTTTGGCAATTTTTCCAAAGACATTTCTTTGCTGGCTTTCCATAAAAAAACAAATTAATTAAACTCTTCCCTCTGGTAATAGTAAATATGGAGTTACAGGCAGAAATATGTTTTTAACCTACAGTACATACTTGACATACAGACAAAGTAAATAGTCTCAGTATCATTTTAATGGACAAAAAATAATACATCTTAATTCAGCTTTAAATCACCGTTTCCACCATCCCTTGTGGGTCCTGCTCTTTTCTATTTATTTATTTATTGTTTATTTGGTTGGGACAGTGCATGTAAATGAACAAACCTCTCCGGATTGTAGCCTTGGGCAAATCCTGCGTCTGTAGGCCCACAGTCACACTCACAAACACACACTCTGAACTATTGTACATGTTTTTGGTGTACATAGTTACATTTCTATTATACTTTACACTATAAATCTACCCATAATAAGCCAAATTGTAAAATACACCAACTATGCGGTAATAATTATTCAATCTGGGGACTCAAACAAACAAAAGGAGTTATTAGAATTGTATTTATTGGTGGTAAATCGCATAGTAAATAGTAGAATAGAGTTTATGAGATGAAAGCCCACTCCCTCGGGACCTAGATCCTGGTGGTGGTTGGAAAGAAATGTGTTAAAGAGCTGGTTTGGCCGACCAGGCAGTGATAGAGAGTGATAGTCCAGTCTGAACCTCCACTTTAGCCTCATTTTACTAATCGAGATAAGGCTAAGTATATACAGGGTTCAATACACTGTGACTATATAACGTATGCATTACAATAACTGCATATGAGTAAGTTTAAACCATTTATCCCCCTACAATATTGAATGGTTCCAATCTATCGGAGGCCATATGCAAACATTATCTTCAGAACATGTCATAACATGCGCCGTCCTTCTAATTGAATTGTAATGAGGGGAGAATACCAGAACGATTTTACTGATCGACAGCCAGTGCACATAGCGGATATGATGGCTAATTAGAGGGACCAGGCCTGCAGCAAAAAGAGCAGAATTGTTGGCAGTGACAGTGTAAGCGCTGGAAGTGTCACTACATGAACCCAAACATGTGTAGTAGTAGTAATAGATGAGGACTGAAGACTGGGTTTCCATGTAGGAGTAACTACGTTGGGAGAGAGCTCGACTGGTTGACTCATTTGATCCACTCTTCAGAACTTAAAATGCACTGGGAGAAATTTTACATAAAGGTTCCCATATGAGGTGAAATATGCCTTAGTTTTAGATGTCTACAGTGGAACAAGCAACTTTTTTGTATTTCTATATATATAAATATTACTTTCGTACTTACTTATTTACTTAAGTCGTATTTGAAGAGCACATAATTCAAACTCATTCCCAGAAATTAATCCAAAGAGAGAAGTCAGTAACGTTCAACTGGAGAGATTTTTAAAAACTTGTTAATTGCCAATACTTGTTTTAAAGGGCAGACAAGACAACTGTGTGATGTCATCGTGGTAAAATGACATCATACTATTAAAGGACTGAGAAAGGAGCTTTTAGACAGAAGGGGTGGAGCTACAAAACGACAGGTCCATTTCACATAATTTCTCCTAATACGTCGTCTCAAAATTCGTTCCGTTGACAAAAAAAAAAAAACTACCGTACTTTCTGAATGTGCAATCTGAGTGCTCTTATTTCCTTCTTTCTCTGCTGTAATATGCGCAACGATGACAAAATGTCTCCTGTGTGGGACGAATAACGGAATATCTTATCTCATTTATCAGACGTACATGTGTATAAGCCCTACCAGCAACATTTTATAAGTTCTGTAAATTCCGGACTACAAGCCGCGGCATTTTTCCCGCACTTTGAATGCTGAGGCTTATACTAAGGTGCGGCTTAATTTGTTTTGATTATTTTTGTCTGTGGCGCCATAAACATGTTGCCCAACAGAATTGATGAGTAGTTCACAGAGGTCCACTTTAATTGTATGACATATCAGTCATGTGTATTCACCCAACATGGAAAATACTGAAAGAGAATCATATAAAAAGTTTTTTTTTGGTTCTCTTTAGAGACATGAAAGTCAAAAGAGTACCGGTAGATGTAGCTCCTCTCTTTTCTGCTTTCACTGGAAGATTAAGAGCAGCCAGTTACTCACTTCTTACAGTAAGAACGTTCAAAATCACAACATGGGATGGTTGTGGCTTATAATCAGGTGCGGCTTAAAGTCCAGAAAACATGGCAAGAAGTGTACATTTTGTCCACATACAGGCCGCACCCAAATTCAAATTCATGTTGTAATGCAGCAGATAGACGACTGTTTTTTTCTGGACACAACATGATCTAATGACGTGTTTCGCAGCTTAGCTTATGTAGGAGGATTTTCTACTTACGGGTGGATCATCAAGACTATTGGTCCTCCCAATTGTCAATCATTCAGGATATACTTACCAGAGAGTTTTGTTAAAAAAATGGAGAGGGCGGTTCTTTCCTAAAATTTGGGAAAATTAGCTTTAACTGTTAGCTTTCATGACACATCCACCAGTCTCTAGTTTGACAATAATCGTGTTCTGTAGCTACTAAAACTTGATGCCAAAATTAATAAGTCCATAAACTCTGCTCAGACAACAGACCAACGCTTTGACGAGAAAAATACACACATTAGCTGCATTTCTATATAAGTAGTGACTTATAGTTCGAAAATGACGGTACTTATTTTCTGAGAGCAAAAAGATTGTGGTGTAATGAATGCTGCTCATCTGTGTTTTTTACCTTGAGAAGAATTAATTCACTTAGATTTCTACCTGCTCTTTCTGATGCCAGAGCTAATAGTAATGCGAGGAAAATGGAAGGACACCAGTGAATCAAATCAAACTGGAAAAATCCGAAACGTTCTCTTATGAATATGGTGATTAAACTGAGCATAATTAAGTTTGACAAAAGTAGGTGTTAAAAGCTGCTTCCATGATTACCACTCTGATACAACGGCTTTGACTTTGACGCTTGACTTTGCTTTGGGAAAAATTAAAGATGTATTTATAATTTCCAACAATTGAGACTAAAACATTGTTGAAATGTGTATTTGATTGAATGTACGGGTTACAGTTCACACTTTTCATATAATTTGAATAATGGCATTAATAACAATAGTATTCAAATAATACTGATTGAATATGACATTGAATAACTTAAAATCTTTTCTGCTCTTTTCTTTCAGGAGAGGACAGTGACCATACGGAGACAGACCATCGGTGGTTTTGGCCTGAGCATCAAGGTAATTTTAGATTCATATTAGTGATAAAAAGACCATAATGTATTGAATATCTTTGAATATTTCTACACAAAGTGAAAAAATAATAATGTATTTGTGTATTTGTCAAATCTACTAAATCTACTTTAATAGTTGAGTCTAATCTTCCTCCTTTTAGTTGACTTCAATAAGATCACTCAGGGTGTGCAAATAGACAGGAAATGTGCGAACTTTGTGTTATAAAAGTACCTTATGTACAATTATAAAGGTACTATGGCAGTGCAAAGTTTACAGTCTAGCGCAGGGCGTCATTAAGTGACTTATTCTACAGTCTGACAGCGGTGAGGATGGATGTCGACTGCAAAGTAAAAGCTTCATGATGGACTAAAATGTGTTGATTTTGCTTTGTCACAATTATTATTTTACTATCCATTTAAAGCTGGGGTACCAACCTTATAGTCTCCAAAAATGTAGTTTTTCACTTTACTTTTTCACCGAAAAAGCTCAATAATTAAAACAAATACAAATACAGTACATGTCAAAACCCTGTTAGCTTTTATTTGTAAAGCACCTTTCCTACACAAGGCAACACAAAGCGCCTCACAACCCATATCACATTTTCAAATCATAAATATTTAAATCTACATTAAGAAATATGATTATAATAAAGCCAATGGGGCAGATGGTGTTTCAGCTGAGCACTTAAAGTTTGCGAGTGCAAGGTTAGCCCCTTTGCTCTCCATCTGCTTCACAGCTTTTTTTGCCCATGGGTTTTTGCCTGATTCCATGCTTACTGTCTTGTTAGTTCCTGTTTTAAAAGATAAAGCTGGCAAGATTGGCTGCTCAGACAATTATAGACCAATAGCATTGGCCAGTATTGTGTCTAAAATCGTTGAATCAATTTTGCTGGACAAAATATCTAAGTTTATTTTGTCGTCAGATTGCCAGTTTGGTTTTAAAGCTAAGCTGGGCACAGACATGTGTATATATGCCCTCAAAGAAATTATTGCTAAATATAAGGGTCAAAACTCCTCAGTTTTTATGTGTTTTTTAGATGCCTCTAAGGCTTTTGACAGAGTTAACCACAGGAAATTATTTATTAAACTAATTCAGAAAGGTGTTCCCAAATTCATTGTGCGGATCTTGATCTACTGGTATGCTCAGCAAAAGATGCAGGTTAATCCAATCCAATCCAATCCACTTTATTTATATAGCACATTTAAACAACAAAACGTTTCCAAAGTGCTGAACAACAATAACAATAAAACAAAAACAATACAAATGAGCTCCACCAAATAAATAGAAATAAAACAATTTAAAAGACTGAATAGAAATAAAAACACATTAAAAACTACAAATAAAAATAAAATTCAATAAAATAGATAAAAAGACACAGGGGGACCACACAACTTACGCGGTGCTAAAAGCCAAAGAATAAAAGTGAGTCTTAAGACGGGATTTAAAACACTCCACGGTGGGGGCCGTACGGATGTGGAGGGGCAGAGCGTTCCACAGCTTAGGGCCGACAATGGAGAACGCTCTGTCCCCTCTGGTTTTACGGTTCGTCTTCAGAACCACGAGCTGGAGCTGGCCCTCAGACCTCAAAGCGCGAGAGGGCTGGTAAATTTGGATGAGGTCTGTAATATACTGAGGGGCCAGTCCATTCAAAGCTTTAAAAACAAACAATAAAATTTTAAAATCAATTCTAAAATTAACAGGGAGCCAGTGCAAGGACGCAAGGATTGGGGTAATATGTTCGCGTTTTTTGGTCCCTGTTAAGAGTCGTGCCGCAGCGTTCTGGACTAACTGCAAACAAGAGAGTGCTTTCTGGCTAATTCCCGAGTAAAGTGCGTTACAGTAGTCCAGACGGCTTGAAATAAAAGCGTGCACGACTTGCTCAAAAAGATTAAAAGATAAAAAGGGCTTAACTTTAGATAAAAGACGAAGATGATAAAAACCCGATTTTAAAACGCCATTAATCTGTTTATCAAATTTAAAATCACTGTCTATGGTGACGCCAAGGCTGGTGACCTTGGGATGCAAATAGTTTTGGAGTGATCCCAAGTCCGTGAGGTTACATCCAAATGTCATTACTTCTGTTTTTCCCTCGTTCAGTTTTAAAAAATTCTGGGCTAACCAAGCCTTGACGTCACCTAGACAGTCAAGCAGGGGTGTCAGGGGGCTGTGGTCATTCTTAGCAATGGGCATGTACATTTGACAGTCATCTGCATAAAAGTGGACATGCCATGTTTCTTAAAAATCTCTCCAAGTGGGAGGAGATATATTGCAAACAAAATGGGTCCCAGGATAGATCCCTGGGGGACTCCACAGTGAAGCGGAGCAGAAGATGAAGTGGAGTCCCCCAGCCTGACGGAGAATGACCTCTCCGACAGGTAGGACCTAAACCACTCTAACGCGGTCCCCCTGACACCCACGCGATCTCTAAGGCGGTCTAAAAGAATTGTGTGGTCGACTGTGTCAAAAGCAGCCGTTAGGTCTAAAAGCACTAAAATGGCAGAGCCTCCAGAATCAGTCATTAAAAACAGGTCATTAAAAACAGATTCAGTACTGTGCAAAGCTTTGTAGCCTGACTGATATGGGTCTAAAGTGCCATTTTCATCTAAAAAAGGTTGCAACTGTGCAAAAACGCATTTCTCTAAAATTTTCGATACCATGGGTAGTTTGGAAATTGGCCGATAATTTGCCAAATTCGCAGGGTCAAGACCAGGTTTTTTAATCAAAGGCTCAACTACAGCTTTTTTACAAAAAGAGGGCACTATGCCAGAAGCCAAGCTGCTGTTGATGATCTCTTTAACAGAAGAGCCAATGGTGTCCCAAACCTCTTTAAAAAAGCGAGGAGGGACCGGATCTGTGGGACAGGAGGAGGGTTTAAGTTTTTTAACAATCCCTGTGAGCACAGACAATGACACAGACTCAAACTGACAAAAAACAGCTGAACATTGCGTGGATACCAAACTCCACAATGAAGAGGGAGAAATGTTGGCCCTAATAGCAGCAACCTTCTCATTAAAAAAGGAGAGGAATTGTTCACAAGTTTCATTTGTCATCTCCAATGAAGTGGACGGACTTGGATTAAAAACAGAACCAATTGTGTTAAAAAGAACCCGAGGTTTACCGATATTATTCAAAATCAAGTTTGAGAAATATTGAGTTTTTTCAGCTTTAACAGTACTTTGATAATTTCTCCAACACTCTCTAAGAATCTCGTGCGAAACCTCCAAATGGTCCTTCTTCCACGTACGCTCCGCTCTCCGACACTCACGCCGAGCTGTGCGCGTAGTGTCATTGAGCCACGGTTCCTGCTTTGGCTTAGGACATATGGCTCTAAAAGGAGCAACACTGTCCAGGACTTCAGAGCAGGTGGAAATAAAAGAGTTCATCAATTGCTCCGTGTCCATAAATGCAGCGGAGTTTAGATGATCCAGAGGCAATGCAGTAAAAAGCGGACAAAAAGCAGCGGCCGTGTCAGGCTTAATAACACGACCATGGCGCACGCAAGACAGCTTCAGCTCCAAGTCCAAAATAAAATCAAACATGACAGGGCTGTGGTCAGAAAACACGGCATCTCCCACAACGACATTGTTGACAGGAAAACCACACGACAACACAATGTCAAGCGTGTGCCCGTGCACTTGTGTTGGGCCAGAGACATGTTGTATCAGATTAAAAGCTTCCACCAAGTCCAAAAACTCTCTGACCATGGGCTTAGAAGGACAACATACATGCATATTAAAATCTCCGACAATTAAAACCCTGTCGTAACGCGTGAGCACACAAGCAACAAATTCGTAAAAATCTCTAATAAAATCCTTGTTGTGCTTCGGTGGTCTGTAAACGACAGCGCACAGTACTGGGTCAGCCTGTCGCAGCTCAAAACAGCTCAGTTCAAATGAACAAAAAGACCATTCAGATACCACTTTGTGATTAACACAATTCTTTAAAACAGTAGCTATACCTCCGCCACGACCAGTGGTTCTCGGTGCGTTGATAAAAGTACAGTCCGGAGGTAATAACTCAGAGAAAGCAGTAGACTCCCCGCTGTTGATCCAAGTCTCCGTTAAAAAAAGTACATCCAAAGCGCGCGATGTAAAGAAATCCTGCAGGATGAAAGTTTTATTCGCCACAGACCTCGCGTTGACCAGTGCGCACCTCGTAGAAGCTGTAGTAGCCGCCTGAGCTACCTGGCTCAGCGTCCTGAGGTTAGCCGGGGACACACCGCCAGAAACCCGGAAAGAAGAGCGGCGAGGGCGCAACGCGCAGAGATCCTCCCGTTGTCCGGTAATGAGCACCAACCAAGCACCAACTGGAGCGAGCGTGCGTCGCGAGACATAGCGGTGAAAACAGTCTCTGTAATCCCGTGGAAGATCCGAGGACCACACCGCGGTGGGAGAAAGAGCCAACCAGGCTTTCAGCTTCACGAGCCGGCCGGATCGGACTCCTCGGCGTTTACGCTTCCTGGGCAGCGGCGCATGCACCCTGAGGAGGTGCTCAGGCAGGTCGGCCAGGTAGAATGAACCTGACTTGTTGTTTGCCTCACGTATAGTACACAATTGCACCGTTTCTTTTAGATTGAGCAATTCTTGACGATTATACACCAGCAGTGAGTCGATGGTCCTTGTGACAGATGTTAAAATCAACATAAAACAAATAGAGCTGAGCAGAGCCAAGCGGCGTACCAGACACACCGGCGCCATCTTGGATCAATCCAAGATGGTTAAGTGGGGGAACAGTGTGTCGGCTCCATTTAAGGTCAGCAATGGGGTCAGACAGGGGGGCATACTATCCCCGATTCTCTTTAACTTATATCTGGATGATCTGTCTACAAGACTTAAGGCTTGTACTACTGGATGTATAGCTGGTAACCTTGTGTTAAATCATTTGTTGTATGCAGATGATCTTGTTGTGTTCAGTCCAAGCACTGCTGGGCTGCAACAGTTACTTAACATTTGTTCAAGCTATGGCCTGGAGCATGACATTAAATATAATGCAGTGAAAAGTTTGGTTATGATCTGTAGAGCCAAGGAGGATAAGAAGACATCATATCCTGATTTTTATTTGTCTAATGCAAGGCTTCATGTTGCAAACAAAATAAAATATCTTGGGCATATATTGACAGAAGACTTGTCTGATGATGCTGACATAAACAGGCAATGTAGAACGTTGTATGCCCAGGCAAACACGCTGGCGCGTAAATTTGGCTTTTGTACGGACAAAGTGAAAATGATGTTGTTCAAATCATATTGTACACCTCTGTACACAGCGCACCTTTGGTCGAACTATAAAAAAGGAACTTTCCAAAGGTTGCAGGTGGCCTATAACGACGCTCTGCGTGTGCTTCTCAGGAGGCCGAGATGGACCAGTGCGAGTGAGATGTTTGTCACTGCTGGAATAAACACGCTGCAAGCCACACTGCGGACGCTTATGTACCGTTTCATATGCCGTTTGAATAAGTCTGTTAATACAGTAATTGGTTCATTGGTTGATGTCACCTGTAGTGCCTTTTGCTATCAGTCGCTAATGTGGAGGCACTGGTATAGCTGTCTTTTTAAAGGGACTGTGTAATTTATTTGTTTGTAGTTTAATGTTGTTTGTGATGTCGCTGTCTTTTTTGGACCTTGAGTCCGTAATAAAGTTGAATTGATTAAAAACAAATATTAAGATCACAAGAAAAAATAAAAACAGATAATAAAATCACACAAGTAATAAAAAACCTTAACACATTTAAAATCACTCAAGATTTAATTAAAAAACAAATTATAGAAACGGAGCGAACTACTTTCATGGATTTTCTTGCAGACTTTACTTTCTGTGGTTGCAAAGTTAGGTACCCCGGCTTTAACGATATCTGTCAAGTTTACCTCCATTATCTCCGTGTCTGTGAAAGCCGCTCCAGTGTAAATGCTGTGTTTTCCAGGGTGGAGCTGAGCACAAAATTCCTGTTGTCATCTCGAAAATATCAAAGGAACAGAAAGGTATAGATTTTTCTCCAGAGCGATCGTTTCAGACTTCTGCACACACACGGGGAATACTTTTTATTTATTTATATTTGTTCTCTCACAGCTGAACTCTCCGGGCTGCTTTTCATTGGTGACGGTATCCTCCAGGTACAGAAAATGCTTGTATATGTATTTTTAATAATTCATGATGCGTATGTGAATGACCTCAGGTAAATGTCATATTTGCAGTTGCTTGTTATTGTCACGACAGAAATATGCCCTTATTTAAAAAAGAGAATATGTTTTGCCTGCAGTAAAGTGAGAATCTCTGACACTAGCTTACGATTGTATACAGTAATGAAATTTAAATATTGATGTTGATCTCAAAAGGTGCTTTCCTCAATTGTCTGTGTGGTAGTCCGATACCTGTTTAATGAGATAGATACATTACTTTGCTATAGTTTTGCTCAATTTGCTTTAAAACATGTGCATCCTCAATTATGGATCATTTTAGTGTGAAAAATGTGTATGTTTGTTGCTGCCTTTCCACAGATCTAACTTAATAAAAATAATTATAATTTTATTTGTAGTGCACGTTTTATCTCCAGGAATCAAAGTGCTACAGATTAAAATACAAAACCACAAACAAACAAAAAAGCATACTTGTAACTAAGCCTAGAAAAGGAAAAGGAAAAGTTTAGTGACAAACATCCAGGCAAGAAAAACCTTTAGATGAAACCAAGGAAAAAGCAGACCCTCCACAAGGACAGTTGAAGAATGTAAAAGACCCAGGTCACACATCTGGTCCCACCGTATCACAGACAGACATCCCCTCAGCGCAAAACATGATCATATCTTTGGGCAGCGTTGGCAAACTCATCTTGGTAGAGGGCTGAACAAAAAAATGTAAGGTAGGGGGAGAAGGTATAAAAAAGTGTTTTAATTTGGATACATTACTTGATTCACATGAGTTAGATTGGATGTTCTTTTCCAGTAGATTTATCTGAACAAAATTAGTTCAGTTTCTGTTGATTGAACCAAAACTGGACCAAATATTATGTATTTGAAGACGCAAATAGAACAAAATACATTTCGATCAATTAATCATTTTTATATATAGAGCCTTTACAACACTCGAGGCGACCAAAGTGCTTCAAAATAAAATTACATAAAATCCAATAAAACCTGTATGCATTAAAAATAAATATAACTTCTAATTACCTGCTGGCTTAACATTTCTAAATTAATTAAATAATATAGTTGTTTTTTTGAGAAAATGAGATTAAAAAAGAGGTATAACTTGCTATGACAGCCAATTACCTGCAACTTAATATAATTATTCAACGTCATTTTTGGGGGCACTGAAAATGGTCTGGGGGCCAGATTTGGCTCGTGGGCCTGAGTTTGGCATGTCTGTCTTAGGGTGTATTCAGACCTTTTGATCTTTTATTGTTCAAATCAAACCAGAATTTGTTTCCTTGGAAAAGCCAGATCAACTTTCAGGCCTGAATAAAGGCACGCAAACTCTTACCCGGGGCAAATAACCGTTCTGAAACCTATTTGAGGAAGTGTTCTTGGGCCGCTTTTAAAAGGATTCTCTTGCGATTAAAGAGTGTTATGAATAAAAATAGTCACAAAGAATACATCAACCTTGGAGTTGACAGCGTGACTGGATGTGCAGCTGACTACGATACACAACCTATAGTCCTGCTGGAGCTAAGGTGGGCTTTGTGTGTATATATTTATATGGGGTTATATGGGCCCGGTGTGAGGCTGTGAGATCCAGCCAATTTCTGATTATTTGATTTAGATTAATATGGGAAAATCCCCTCGAGATGCAGCACCTCATTTTCGAGAGGTTATGACCATAAAACAAACACAATACGTATGATACAATACAAACTATTAACATTTACAGATTTAACACACACAAGACGGGTTTGCTCCCTCAGATCCCACTCCACACCTCTACATCAACTCTAAATTCATACAAATAACATAATAACATAACCTCTGTATACAGTAATCCAGGCTGGCTATAATTGATCTAGATAATTCTGATTTAAATAAGCCATGCTGTGTTCTGTGGATACTGTAGATGGACCCAGTGCGGGGGTTAGATCTGGGCAAATACTGACCAAAGCTTGAGTCTAAGATCCAGGCCTGGACCCTTAAAACATGTGGAGTCTTGCTGATCCCAGGGTGTGCTCTGGAGCTACTGGAGGCTCAGACTGTTACCCACAACTCTCAGCATCACTTTCATATCCACGGCTGATGCATTCTTTGGTGTCCCCACTTCCTCAAACACTAGAAATCTTCAAATAAAGGACTAAGAAATCAGTGGGAGGTAGCGTCAGAGACTTTGTCCGTTTCTGGATCAGGCGCAGCTAAAAAAAAAGTCTTGGGGAATTAGGATTATGAGAGGTAAATATTCCTTTTCTTGTCTTCAGTGATTTGGTCTATTTTCTTTCTTTCAATTTTCTTTCTTTTTTTCCAGAATGACATAAAAAAGAAAAAAAAGCTGTAATTTTCAAGCAACCATTCCACTTTCTAAATCCTTCTAAATCCTCACAAAAAATCTTGAAAATGCCTCTTTCATTATTTTCTTATTTTTTTCCAGAATGACACAAAGTTGAATATTTAGGGGGAAAAATGCTGTAATTTTCAAGCAACCATTTCACTTCCAAATCCTTCTTTTGCCAAGACTCGGGTATAAATCGTCACAAAAATTCTTGAAAATGCCTCATTAGATTTTTTTTTTTCTCTTGACAGTTTAGTAAATCTCAGATACTGTATTTGAACAAGGCACTAACCATTTCTTCTGCACTTGTTTTGAACCTTCATACGACCTGTGCCTCTGAAACCACGGTTCATCCACAGTTTATTCGTGGAGACAGACTTATGTGTCCATCTGGGCACACAGACAGAGTTCACTGACTCCACAGTATAATCCAGCGTGTGGGAATGCTGATAAAGTCTGTGCTGAGTGCGTCGCTTTGGCTTTTGGTTTTTTGAACCGTCAGGAGGTACAGGCGTCTTTGTACAGTTCTGTGCCTCAACCTCGAGCGATCGTCTGAAACTAGTTCACCTGGTCCATAGTTCACCTGGTCCATAGTTCACCTGGTCCATAGTTCACACGGTCCATAGTTCACATGGCACATAGTTCACCTGGTCCATAGTTCACACGGTCCATAGTTCACCTGGTCCATAGTTCACCTGGTCCATAGTTCACACGGTCCATAGTTCACATGGACCATAGTTCACCTGGTCCATAGTTCACATGGACCATAGTTCACATGGTCCCTACTTCACCTGGTCCATACTTCACCTGGTCCATAGTTCACCTGGTCCATAGTTCACCTGGTCCATAGTTCACATGGTCCATAGGTCACATGGTCCATAGGTCACATGGTCCATAGGTCACATGGTCCATAGATTCAAATTCAGATTCATTTATTTGCCATTTGCAGTAAAACCACATTGGAAAAACTGTGCAAGACTACCCCAGTGTGCACCAGACAGAGGACGACACACACCAGAGCTCTTGCCACGGTGCCATCTTCACAGCGCCATGCGACGATAGTTCACCTGGTCTATAGTTCACATGGTCCATAGTTCACATGGTCCAAGTTCACCTGGTCCATAGTTCACATGGACCAAAGTTCACCTGGCCCATAGTTCACCTGGCCCATAGTTCACCTGGTCATTAGTTCACCTGGTCCATAGTTCACACGGTCCATAGTTCACATGGACCATAGTTCACCTGGTCCATAGTTCACATGGACCATAGTTCACATGGTCCGTACTTCACCTGGTCCATACTTCACCTGGTCCATAGTTCACCTGGTCCATAGTTCACCTGGTCCATAGTTCACATGGTCCATAGGTCACATGGTCCATAGGTCACATGGTCCATAGGTCACATGGTCCATAGATTCAGATTCAGATTCATTTATTTGCCATTTGCAGTAAAACCACATTGGAAAAACTGTGCAAGACTACCCCAGTGTGCACCAGACAGAGGACGACACACACCAGAGCTCTTGCCACGGTGCCATCTTCACAGCGCCATGCGACGATAGTTCACCTGGTCTATAGTTCACATGGTCCATAGTTCACATGGTCCAAGTTCACCTGGTCCATAGTTCACATGGACCAAAGTTCACCTGGCCCATAGTTCACCTGGTCCATAGTTCACATGGTGCATAGTTCACATGGTCCATAGTTCACATGGTCCATAGTTAAGTAAGTAAGCAATAAGCGTTCTTTTTTTTCATGTACAAAATAGACAATTTGGGTACATAGTAAATAAAGTTCAAATTTATCTTCAAAAGGTCCCACTGGGGGAAATTGGTTTTGCAGTCATCTAAAAACAGACACAATAAAATCACAACATAGAAGAAAACAAGAACGAGAGAGGACGTCACAAAGCTAGTGTCAGTGCAAATATGCTGTAAAGTGCAAAAGTTTGTATAAAGTGCTATGTGCTGCTAAGGTGCTTCACTGCTGAATATAGAACCAGATCGCAGAGAAACCAGTGGGAAGCAATGGTTCCTTGGTAAAATATTAAATACGCAGCTGACTTTTGGCCTTTCTTTTCTGAATACATCCTAAGGAATTGTACTGCAAAAAATGATAAAATATGAGGTAATAAATACTTGAATTGTGTGGTTTTTATTTTAATGGAAGTACTTTTAGACGTCTTAAAGATTTGCCAATGGGACTAAGCCATTTAGAAAAGTCAGTCTCATTTAAAGAATTTTTCTCCTTCCAAAGAAGAATTTTTGACTTCAGACCGGTTTAACTAAGAAATATGCTTTATTTATTTCTCCCAAAAAAGAAAATTGTGGTGCATAGTGAATAGAACCAGATCGCAAAGAAGCCAGTGGGAAGCAACGGTGCCTTTTCTAAAATCTGAATTACACAAACCTCCATGAATCTCTCGAAAAACATGTTTGAAGAGTGTAAAAGGGAGAAATGACAATAACATTGTCCCAGGCTGTGAAAAATCAGTTTTGCGTCATACGTCCTCTTTAACTGCAGACATCCATAAAACCCAGCAGACAAGTTATATGGGCTGTCTTATTAATCACACCGGCACACGTTGCTGAAAAGGTACGGAGCGATATTACTTGGTCTAACACGCGTTTCTCTTGTTTGCAGATAAACGGGATAAACGTTCGGAGCTATCGCCATGAGGAGGTGGTAAGTTGTCGGCTTGTATCTCATTTTTTCCCTGAACAAACTGCTCTGCCGCCTTATCTGAGCGGCTGTGATTTGAATCAGCGTGGCGTACGAATCATGTACATTTTTTACTTTTTCTCCTCTTCCATTTGAAAAAGTAGTGTTTAAACATAGCGGAGAGGTTGGGGGTTGACATTGTGGATCATTGTCAGAACGTGTGGGTTAAAGGGGAAGTTATATGTACAATTTTTTAATTTGTTTAGTCATTTAAAACTAGCACGAGACATACAAACAATTATTCACAGAAAAATTGATAATAGGAGTCAACAAAAAACGTGTGCATGGTTTGAAAAGGGATTGGTCGAAGCAAAAAGCGTATTTTAATCTAATCCCCTCAGCGCCGTTCACACACATAGAACAATACCAAAAAATAATAATAATAATAATAAAAACCCTACAATACCCTTCAACAAGACAGTAATATTACTAACAAAGACATACACACACACACACACTTTGACACTCACGCCAAGAGACAAGACCAAGACACACCAACGCTCTTGTTCACACAGATAAATTATAGGGATGGGACAATAAACTTTATATGAATAATTGTGATGCAAAAGGTTTGAATTGGTGACTATACTATCATGGACTAAAAAAAATAATTCAGCGATACTATATTTAAGGGCGCCTGATATTAGCGTAACAACCACTAGTGCCATTTGTGTGAAGAGGTACAGTTGAACCAATGTCAAGGGGCCTCAAGGATTTCAACCAATCAGGAAGCTGCGGGGGAGAGAATGGGCGGGTCTAACCAGGGCTTGTCTTACAAAAGTTTCACTCTCTCAACAATGATAATGGCCATTTGTTTCTTTAATTATTTACTATTACTATTATATATGGCCATTTCCCAGCCAGACACAGTATAGCAGAACAAAAGCTTCCTGTGCGTGGGGTATTCTTTTAGTTTTAGCTCATGACAATTGAAAATGATTATTTAAATATTTTGTGATTTGCAAAAAGTAATTGAAACGACTGCATGTTTTCCAGGTGCAGGTTTTGAGGAACGCAGGAGAGGAAGTGACTCTGACCGTGTCCTTTCTGAAGAAGACGCCGGCTTTTCTCAAGCTTCCTCTCTGCGAAGACTGTACATGTGAGTAAATAAAGTGGTATAGGACTATTACTATTGTTAAAGAATCACATTTGATACGGTAATAACACACATTTCTGAAACTTTGAGCCTTTAACCATTCTTCTCTTATCAAAAAACTTGTATGAGCCTCAAGAAACACAACATTTAGATTTAGGTAGATCTGATCAGCCTAAAATAAGACATCAACCAATACATACTGCTGAATTTTTTTTGGTTTTTGACATTTTGGCTGCCGGCCCTAACATTTTTCCATCCAACCAATGTGCTAGCATAAAATGTTTTAGCTCATATCAGAGGCTTGGTTTCTCAGGAAAACCATAAGCTTGAAAAGTAGTTGGTAAGTTTGAATCAGTCGACAGTAGTTCTGTTTTAATTCAAACATAACCGTACTTGTTTTGTTCAAAAAGCTTCCAAAAGAGAACATCCAAAACCATATTCAATGAAAAAAATTTTTTGTATTGCAAAAAATATTGCAAAAGATCAGCTATAAACAAACCTCTCACCGATAAAATAATGGATATTCCTCTTTTTGTCTAACTTTATGACAGACTCATGGTCCAGAAAAACACATTCTTCTTCTCAGACTCAAAATCAATAACCATAAAGGCATTCTGAGACGACCTTGATAATGGTCCTAACTGCTAACGAGTGTATTAGCATTAGTCCCTCGCCCATGTTTGTTTGCATTTTGACTTCCAATATAAAATAAAACAAAAATCATGTTCTTCTTCTGTCAAATTGTGTTTGTTGCTGCTCTGTGCCCCCCCATGGTTTACTCCCACTAACTCCAACAAATGGTGGTACTTATTTCATTTATTTCATGTTCAACTCCCAAAGCAAATTCACTATCATGTCTAAAGTGCTTCCATCGTGAACACGATTCAATAATAATAATAACAATAATACATCAGTTTTATATAGCGCTTTTTCAGGACACTCAAAGACGTCATTATTCATTCACTCCATACACAGTGGTGATAAACTTCTACAGTAGCCACAGCTGCCCTGGGGCACACTGACAGAAGCGAGGCAACCAGTATGTGCCATCGGAGACAACGGCAGTTTGGCACTTTACAGCCGCAGCCGCCCCACTGTGGCACCTGGTTTTCCCAGAGGTTAAGTGTCTTGCCAAGGACACAGCGACAGCAGACAGTGGGAGTCGATGGTGAAAGTCTTGAGGTGGGCTCGAACCCACGACCTTCTGGCTCAAAGCCCAATGCTCTACCAATTTTTCTTCATTCATAAAAATCACCGTGTCAAAAGTGTATGATAAAAACACAAACAGCCTACATGGAATAGTAGTAGTCTTTATTTCAAATTGTTAATTATTCATTGTACAATAAAAAAAAAAGATAAAATATATGCACATGCTAATAATACGGCAAGGCAAGTTTATATGTATAGCACAATTCACACGCGAGGCAACTCAAAGTGCTGAACTAAATAAGATTAAAATCATAACGAATCACAGTACATTAAAAGGAAAGATACAAATATAAAATCCTGCAGGTTCTGAATGGACTGACATTTAATTAGAAACAGCCACGTCCAAAGGAATAGAAATATAAGACCCTGTTGGTCCAACGCTTCGGCAACGTTTAATGAGGCTGGATAATTGCAGGGTCAGACTGAAACAAAGCTGAACTGCGATGTATGGACTCTCCAGACTGGTCTTCATTTTAGAGGCTGGATTGTGCTGCAGAGATTGTTGAACCTTTTGTTAAATTAAGCAGGAGAAGTCAGGTGTTCTCGAGGCTGCGATTAATCTGCTTTTTACGACTCTTTTAAGAACATAATCTAAACGTGGGGTGTTGAAGGTCACAGTATTTTAATAACCCATTATTCACACGAGTCCCTGTTGTACCGATAGACACATGTTGTAACTACATTTGTAAAAGAACTTCCTTGTTTCTAAAAGGTTCATATTTTGAACGTCCTCAATATTTGCCTTATAAGCAGTTGATTACAAGAAACAAGCCGAGGTCTGAATTACGTCAGCGAAATGACCGTCTCCATGAATACTGTATTGGTTTCTTGTTGAATATCTAATAGAAGGAACAATATACTTTTTTATTGCAGTAGTGAGATATTTGCAATGTTCTCTGTAATGATAATAATAATGATAAGAATAACACATTTTAATGGCTAATTGTGTCTGTGTGGTTTGGAAACATCACAGATAAAGAAAAGAGAGCTTTAAACAAGGTGCTCCGCTCTGCAAAGAGGACCGTGGGCTGTGAGCTTCCTGTTCTGGAGGTTCTTTATAAATCCAGACTTTTAAACAAAGCTCTTAGGATTGTTAATGACTCTTCTGGCCACCCTGGAAAAGCCATGTTCCAGCTTCTTCCCTCTGGCAGAAGATATCGCTCTCTGAGATGCAGGACATCTCGTTACGCTAACAGTTTTTATCCACAGGCTGTTATCAGTGTGAACAGAGCACTTTAATGATTTGCACTTGTTTTGAAACTGTTTTAGTCGATTGATTTCACAGTGACAATTGTTTACTGTTTAATTTGTTTTATTTCCATACTTTTAATGTTGTGTTATGTCTGTATTTGTCTGTGCACACTGGAGACTTTTTGCTAATGTATTCCAATGTGGTGTTTTTACTGCAAATGGCAAATAAACTGAATCTGAATCTGTTTATTCCAGCATATGTTTCTGGGATGTTGTGGTTTTGTTTTGTAAATTCAACAGTGGCACAATGTTATTTCAATATTACACTTTCTATCATTTCTGTATATCATCCATAAGAATGTGCCGTAATACGCTCATCAGAAAACATCAGAAATATTGGTAAAAATGGGGCTGCTATACTTTAAACAATTGTCTGAGTTTTGCGTAACTTGTGATTGTCCTTTGTTGTGATTGTAACGTAACTTACAGGTATATCAGAGGATTTTCTATTTCCGGGTGGATCATCAAACCTCTCACTTGCAGCTCTCAGCCACATTAGGGGGGTCGGAGGTTTTTATCCCAAGAAAAAGTTCCGTGTTTTACACAAAGCACACTGTGTCTATCCAATTGTCTGTGAAACTGTGTGTTATTGCTCTCTGCTGTTTCTTGCTTGCACACAGCGCCGCAAATGGCGACGTAGCACGCTTCTGCCAAAACAATTTCCGAGTGGTAACCTTTGTTTGTTACTTACGTGGCAATAAAAATGATTCTGATTCTGAAAACTATTGGTCCTCCTAATTGTCAATCATTCTGGTGATACATACTCAAATAAGACCAGAGAGTTGTGGAGAGGGCGGTTCTTTCCTAAAATTTGGGAAAATCCTCCTATATACCTTTAACTTGTTTTCATGCTCGATGGCCTGTTCTTTATTTGGTCTGACTAAAATATGATAAATGATCATGACAGACCTTCTCACCGAGTTGCGCTGACCTGATGTTGCCATAGCAGCACAGTATCAAGCTTTTGGATTTGCACTTCAAATGGGCCAAAAACACCTGACGATGCTGGTACTGAATACGGCAAAATAAGTGACAAACTTCAGCCTAAGCCTTTCAGTCTGTATAACAATCACATTTCAGTTAAGACAATGCTTTTGTGTGTTTGTAATGGTTTTTGGTGTTGACTGACCATCAAAGAAATGAATAAACTAAACTAAATCCACCGCAAAAAAAGGGAAAAATAAATGCAAATGTAAGTCAATAACTATTAACGTGTAAATGAGAAGCAATTCAAAGCTATCGAAAGCGGATTGTGTGCCATTGATGAGTCTATGGCTCCTGTGTTTTCCTCCATCGACTGTGAATAATCGGCATGTTTGATGATGCAGGTAAATGTGTAGTATATTCTTGGGTTTCATTAAACTGGCCAGTAGGGGGCGAATAAGCAGAGGTGGGACAAGGGACTTGATTTCAGGCATTTTTGAAAAAAAAAAATAAAAACAGAAGAAATTGCTGCGTTTCATTCGGGTGGCCTGCAGGGGGCGCTTATCTGGGAAAGCCTTGATCCACCTCGCCCGCCTCATTCCAGTGATTTTTTCAAAGTGTCCTCCTTTATATGAGACCACAGTTGGAACACGGAAGAAACTCTTGTCTTTCTCTCTATTTGTGCGGTTGTTACAAGCGTATACCGCACAAAAAGAGGCCATCTTCTACTATTTTTAGGTTCTTTTAATGGTTTTTAAATGTCTTAATGGTCTTGGGCCTTCTTATCTTTCAGAAATGCAGCCAGCGAAAGTTCAATTTGGTAGACGTTAACCAAATTTACCCCTCCAGGCCGGCTCTCATCCCCAGCCTATCACTCAGCAGACGCCCCCTTCCAATCATCTGTACCGACTCGCAGCCGCATAAAAACGGAGCAACGCCCACTACCGGCCTCCTGAAGCCTCGCAAGCTCCTGCAGCCTCGCAAACTCCTGCAGCCTCGCAAAGAATCGTTCTGGAGGAATCGCTTTTGTCTACTCACGCTTACTCGTGCGTGTCCCTGCTGTCCTCTGTCTTGCTGCGTGTGGTCTGCTCCTCCTGTGGCTGCACCTGCTGCGGGTCTCGTGCTGTGGTCCGTGGGTCTTTGCCGCTCTCCTCCTTTGCGGGCTCTTTCCGCGGGTTTGCCGCTGTTGTCTCATCGCGGCCTGCTGCTGCATACGGCCGGTCTAGCCCGGTGCGGTGGGAGCCGTGCGCATCCCTGCCTCCTTGTGCCGGTACGGTGTGGTCCCGTCGTGTTGTCCCTTGTCTTCTGGCGCTGTGGGTAAGTATGAGATCCGCGGACGGTTTATTCCCCTCGCTTTGTCCTGCAGGCTCAGTTGGCCCCGTGCTGGTGGGCAGGCTTCAGTTTAAAGCCCTCGCATTGGTCTGCAGGCTCTCTTTAACCAAGCTCCGTTTAATCCCTCACATTGGACTGCAAGACCTCAGTTTTAATCCCTCTCATTGGACCGCATGCTCTCAGTTTTAATCCCTCACTTTGGCCTGCAGGCTCTGTTTAAATCCCTCTCTGGACTGCAAGCGCTGTTTAAATCCCTCACATTGGACCGCATGCTCTCAGTTTTAATC